CTGGCCGCGAGTACTGGTACCAGGCCTGCTTTTTAACGCTGACTTCAGCATCACACCCGCCTCCCCCACTGCCCATTTTAGGAAAGGAACTGCGCATTTGAAGACAAACTCTACTCACATCCGTAGAACCTGGTCCATACCTTATGTGGGGTGAATGGGTCCGTAGCTGCAGTAAGGTGCCACCTTCTACGCTCTGAAAGTGCAAGGGAACGGAGCTGGAGCGTACTGGAGGGTAGCGATACCTGGATGCCGTCTCCTAACTCCGCCTGCGTTACCCTCAGTATGCAGCACCTGCATCGACACTGAGGTCTCGTAGCGAAACACGAACTTGGCAGAGAACATCCAGAAGTGAGAGGGCACAGACAAGTAGCACGTCTGGCTATAGTCAGGCGTGTGCGTAGCTGAGCGGAGCGGGTAATGATCATCTTAGCCACTATGCAAACTTGTCCCACCTGTCTCATCTGGACCAAAAATTCTAATGAGCAAAAAAGCGTAAGGAAATGGTGATGATCAGTTTCTGTTATCAGATTTTTGAAGAATCGATGATACTATTCAGATTGACACAAGTCTGATTGAAATGTGCTTTTTCGTTCGGACGGACACTCAATTGACTGGAAAAACTCCGATAATGAAGTATATCGGAGAAACTGAGCCTGACTGTATCTTGGAATGTGTACGGTAAGAGATTGAACTTGCCGAGGATTTTGGCGCTGTTCGGCTTAGAGGGGCATATTGCACTTCCGCCAGTTCTGATATTTCATGCTCACCATCAGTAAAACGTCTTACTTTGATAAGCCCTGTAAACTCTTTTGGAATTGCGGAATGTTACAAGGGGTAACAGGAATTCACAGATCTTCACAAGATCGTCTGTAAAAGCTTCACTGAGTATCATTTGCTGCCCCCACCAAGCCGAACTGTGTCGATTTTCTATAATGTATCCTTACTTAGGCTGGAAAATTTCAATGGCCAAGTAAATTGTTTCATATTTGCAGTAGTGTTTTGATTTGCATTTCAACCATTTCTCTATTGTCAGTTTCACCGCCTGTCCACTGTCAACCTACAGCCGTTATCGCTGCGTATGCTGGGGCGTGTCAAGGGGCTGAGTTTGGCGCAGCGCCAACCTTCTTTCCGTCGATTGCTTGCTTCAGCAAGTGGTGGGGAACGAGCTGGCGGCGCGCCGAATCCAGCCACTCCTCACGCCGCAGCCTCTGCAGCTTACTAATCTTCCGCAGATATTTGGTAACTCTTTCAGGGACAAACGGTGTTAGTTTGCGTGGAACTATCGCGGACGATGCTAAAGCTGGCATTTTTGATGAAGATCACATTGACTTCAATGCAAATACGAGTATTCAGCTTGGCTTACACTTTCCTATATGCGAAGGGAAACAGACGTTCATTCTCTATGTCGCTCAACGGTGGTTGTTAAAGGTACAATCACATTTGTCTTGATGGGCGTGAGATCGGGCATTTCTGAATACACATCCTAGCATTCTTCTTATTTCTGCTCTAGCCAATGGAACAAACGCGCGCAGGCGACTGACTATCGTCCCATGACTATAGCTTACCGGTTTTAGCTTCTCGATATCGACTCGAGCTAACCAAGTCGGGTGGGTGATGGTATCTCGATATGATAGAGTGTGAATGGAGATTTTATCACAAGTAGGACTGAGTTTGGGCAAAAAATTCCTGTCCCAAGGCGAGAGCTCGACCCGCACCTCACGCTTTCGGCGCTGAGTGAGCTATCGCTTTACGCCTCAATATTTTATCAAGCTGTTTTTTTATAACCGAGAGAGTTCTTTATTGTTACTGCGACTGGTTGGGTATATTTTTCCATATCCAAGTCAGGGAGCTCACATTCGGTAGCCGAAGCAGAAGGGAAATTGCATTCATCCAAGCAGAAATTGTCCTTAGGGCCAATCAAGAACCTCCCATGTGGGGGATTTTCTTGTAGTTGGTCAGAAATGTCCCACTTGAGGGTCGTTCAGTACGGCTCACCGACGCAGCTTCCCTGCACGATTCGCAAAGTCATTTTGCCCTTTCAGATATGATGCGAATGGGAAAACAGTTTTCTCCTCTCGAATCAGGGCCAAGTATAATGTGCGATGGAGGAAGCTCTTGTAGGACATCAGCGGTGCTTAATGTGGCCCCTTGACGATGTTCATCCACCCATCAACTACCGATTACTTCCATCAAAAGGCAAGGGTTATTTCTCAGTCATTCGAACAAGTGCCCTCCAGAATGTACGATTCAGCCGCTTGCTCACAAGGATCCGCTGTGCTCTTCATTCGTTCTGCCCATTCTCGCGACCAAAAAGGCAAGATTGTGAATACGGTCAGTAATATCAGTGAAGATGATTGTCTCTTCTCGTGCCTGACTAATAAGGTGAGATTCTTTACGGATCCCTTTACCTACCAAGCTAATCCCCGTCATTCCCCAGGTAGCTGACTCGCATACAGTACAATGCGCTTCCGCCGAGTACGACGAGAACGGAGGGCGTTGCTCGTTGAGCTCTGAGCCAAGAACGAACGAGCTCACCAAACATGAATCGACAACATTGTATGAGAAAATATGCGTTACAGGTGGAGTTTCCTTCCAGTTATAGGGCCCAGTTCGGCGACAGGGGCGACGGGGGGGGGGCATTTTGCACTTTTGCTACTTCCCATCGACGTGTCGACCTATCTAGACAGCCTCTTCTCGAGTTGACAGGTTTACCATGATGGCTTGACGACCTTGCTCCAGCTTCACAAGAGTTCACAGGTTTCGCCAGAGTGAGACTTGTAAGCGGAACTAGTGAGACAATGGTAGTACAAAGCGATCCCCCCCCGTCGCCGAACTGCGCCCAATTATAGCTTTCTTGCACCTGCTCACTCTTTCGTACTAAAAGGACAGATGTTCTCGCGAAATATCAACTAATGTATGGAGGCACCCCCCCCCCCCCCCCCCTCGCGAAAACGCACGATCATAAGTAGATGGGCGGGTACAACACCCGCAAAAAATGGCGGCACGTGAAATTAATTGGTGTCAATCTTGTGGACGCAGGACAGACGCTGGGAATTGCGGTGAGTCAAGTTTTAGTTAGTCAGGGCTTTGTGAAGGTAAGTTCCGGCTGGGGTCAGGAAGTGAGCGAACACTCAAGGCAGAGGCCAGGTGTTGGCCTAAGCAGAGAATGAATTAGGGAATATGCTGTGGGCAGCTGTGGATCCGTAATTTCAGGCACAGACTCAAAAACTGTATCCCGTTTCTTTTCTTGAGTTTTACAGTTTCAATTGTGAAAGCTACGGAAAAGCGCTAAGGTGGTTGAGAGGTAATGGCTAGATTAGGAAACGCCGGTGCCCTTTTGTCTGTGCCCTATTGACTAGGGGAGTTCAGCTGGCAAGCTGGCACCGATGAGGACGCAGACGAGCAGACGATAAACATGATTCTGGTCTCACCTCACAAATTGAACTCAAGAAGATATGTAGGTGGGGTGCTATTCATGTATAGAAGGTTAAGTGTGCACCATATTTCTCAGCAGGGGAGTACAAGGAGGGGGGCCACGACAAACGAGCGTGTTCGATGAAGCGAAGTTGGGGTGGGGGGGGGGGGATTTGGGGAGGGGAGAGAGAGCGGCGGAGGCGCAGTGGGGCTTTCGCTTGCTCCGATCAACCAGTTATTAAATGGTGGAGAGCGCTTCAAATCTTGTAGAAATTGTACAACAGTTCGGATTTCCGTTGCAACCGAATATTGGAAGAGTCTAGCATGGTTTCAACCAAGGTGAGACGCATTAGCTAAGCAAATGCGGCTCTCCCCCGCCTCACTCGCTGGCGCCGTTTTTTGAAGAAACTTGGAGAATTTTTCAGAAAAAAAAACTCTGGAGAAGTGGTAGAAAGCTAGGAAAACATAGAAAGATGGTAGGCAGGATGAGGTGGTATGGGGAAGAGAAGAGTTCGTAGCAGAGGGAGAAAAAGAAGGGTGGTCGTTTGCAAAAATTCTCCCCAGATGCAGGATCTGCCCTGATCTTAGTAAAGAAAGTAGCAGAACTGGAAAATGCTTTTTCTCCTAAGCCAAACAGCGCCGCACTGTGTTCAAGTTGTCCGTAGGCTTACCAGACGTTGCTATGGCGAAGGACCTCTGGAAAACTTGAAACTCGTTTTCTGTTCCACATTCAGAACCTAGTGCTAATGCATCACGGGAAATCCTTGCTTTCGTCGCGCAGCCGCAACGACCTCCTGACCAGTATGACGACTGGTATTCACTGGCCCGACCCTGGCTTTCATTAAATCGTTAGACCGAAAGCATTCCTTTCCATTCTTCTCTAGGGGCAATCAATCAATATCGTGTATTTCTCTGAAGGGGGCTATCTGGATTTTCAACATTTTGGGTTTCTTAACGATCTCTATTCTCAGAAAGCGTCTCCAACCAGTGTTCGGGTGCAGCAGTGGATCGGATGCCAACAAAAAAAAAACATCGTCTTGGTAGGTTACATGCATGACACTGCCACTACCGTTTCCATCGAAGAATGTATCGAACGATGTGTACGGTCTGAAATCATGCTTGGATTCCAATGTTTATCGATTATGTACTACTATGAGGTGAGCTGCTCCAGTGAGACCCACTACCGTATACTCTGAAACTGAGTTCTTCAGGAAACGGTATTGAACTGCATACTGAATGACGCCAGTGTTCGAACAAATCCTGAATCTGTGACGGACGTAAATTCAACAGTCGTCGACTATTTTGGTATTGACGACTGCTATGGATTACCGGAGGCAATAGACGACCGTCAGGTTCGCAAGAAGAGTTCGAAGACGACGCGAGCGGATGCAAGCGCGAACTCGGCGGGAAAGCGACTGACTGCTCGTCGTCGCATGCGCTGACAGCGGCTGTCTGAGGTGTTTAGACTGACGCGAATGACGCGCATTCGAGCGATACATGCAACAGCGCTCCAGTCCTAAAGACGCGAGGGGAGCCGCAGACGGGAGTCGACCGGAGCAGGCTGCTCACGTTTTGAGGAAGGCAGGGACAACTTTACGCAACCTGGTACTCTCCCATTCTTCCATACTCACCCAAAGCCCTACCAGCAGGCAGACACACACCGCGAATCCTGATTATCGATCACAGGCGATCGATAACAGATTGCGTAATTAGGCAACGAGTACTCTCCCGTCTTCCCATACTCCCACAATACAGAAGCGGCCAACTCCGACGGATTTCCGTCTGCGGCTGCGTTCGTGTCTGGGATTGGAGCGCTGTTGCAATTGTAGCGCGTCGACGGGCGTCACCGCGAATTCTGAACGCAGCGTAAGGCTACGTTCATACTTTGTGCCTCGGCGTCGAGGTAGAATTAGCGTTTCGAGCGAATTGGCGTTACTAGCTAAAAGGACTACATAGATATCGATCGGCGCCAGCCACTAGCGTTTTTGGGGAGAATTCAGCGTTTGAAATGGCGAATTGGCGTCCAAGGGCGAAAAAAAGATTATAACGGGTACGCTATCGGGCCCAGAAGCGCACGAATTCGGCTGCAGAACGCTGCCTCCTCCGGCGCAAAGCGCTTAGTCGGGGGCGAACGTATGAACACAGCCTGAGCATCCATGTAAATCCTCAAATATTATCAATTAAGACTATTTTTTTATTTAGAACTTCCTCAGAAATCCTCCACCTCCTGTTGATAACACCATCGCAGCTGAACAAGAGCAAAGGTGTAGCATCCTAGCGGAGCGGAGCATCCTAGCTCTCCATGATTTTTGATTAAATTTTGATTTTCAGAAAAGCACCCGAAGTGAAGAGAGAAATTCGTCTTCAATACAGCTCAGGAACCATACGACATCAACGATAGTTTCGCTCACCTGCTCCATTCACACTTATCCAACTGGCCATTGACAAGCTTTCAGGACAGCATACATAGAGTAGTCCTTTGACACCTATTCATCATGATCACTATACATTCACTCGATTCGGGTACAACATCCTGGCTATGTTTGTATACATGTCCATCCACTTAATATGCGACGCTGGGGCGCGAGCGGTTGTGTGACGGCGTTGGCAACGAATCGACATGCACCATGCCGCGACGCGAACCGCGCGCATAGCTTTCAGAATCTAGCACAGGCACGTGCCCCTTGGTGTTTTTCCCCTGTGGATAAGAGGCACTGTCAAGAGAAATGTCAGCCGCGTCGATAGTGATTTCCACCCAATAACCTCGTTGACACAGGAAAAAGATCGCGACAAGCACATCACTGCCGAGATTTTCTGAAAGAGAAGTTGCAGACTACCTAGCATGTTTATTTTAACTCATTAGTATAGATCAGAATATCAACAAGGCGTAGCATCGCGCGTACTCTGACCTTCTTAGCTAGTTGGCTTATCTCGATGTACGACGGCGTCAAACCAATAAGGTCATGGCAACTTACGTCTCACACCGCTTATTTGACGGCCTTATATTCGACATTCAATAATTTGCTTGGGCAGACGGTGCACGTATACGGCAGTGTTCAGACTTGCCACGGCATCTTCAAATTGGGCGCGTTTCCGGCGCGATCGACTGGCAGTCGAAGCATGTGTATCGATTGCGCTGAGCGCGCGCTGCGAAGGCACTGGCCATCGCGAGTCCTGAACGCTGCCTTGGGTTTTGGGCGGGGCGGCCCCATCCCGTTTTCCATCGATCGTTGCGGATTCGGGCGTTAAACGAGGGGGGAAAAGGAGGTGGCAACGAGCGGTTGGCGCTCAAAACACGACGTTACCGACTGGGGCTTCTGTGAGCAAGGACTACGGTAATGACAGCTTTCCCGCGTTAATAAGCCCTCGGAGAGGGGGCATTTAGAGGACTCTTAGCAGAAAGTGAGACTAACTAGCATCCCCATGTTCAGCTTGCATGAGCTATCATGCTTTGAAGTGTTTTTTTTCTGGAGGCCGGGCTGCGGCTCGAATGTGTTGATCAACCAGCACCCGAGGCCCTCCCTTCGGCTTGGGCAAAATTCCTGATATTCTTTGCGGGAATCTCTGTTCTGCACGGGAGTCTTTTGAATGCCCCCTCCAAGTTTATTAGCGCGCGCCTGTGCGCCTTCTTCATTGCTTGATGCGGCTCAAAAGGGCTGAATCATAAGAAAGCGTTTAAGCAAACCGTTTTCAAGATAAAGCCGTTAAATAAATGTTTTGCGACGTAGCCTAACGGGCCAAGGTGGGGTGGGGTGTGGTAGTGGCTACACTGAGTCAAGCTAGCTAGAAACGCCGGTTTGCGGGCTTTGCGACACCTGCTATCACTATTGACCATCGCTTATGCTATTCATTTAATAAAACCATGTGTTGTTGCGTAAATGTTACATGTATAAACTAATGAAATTTGCAATTATACTTTTGAATGAGTCACATACGATTATGCATAGAATCATGGTTTGCTAAAGGCGGCCATAAAATGTAGCTTGAGCAGCTTGACGACAAATCACTTAGCTGCATGGGCAGCGCTAACGTCCCGTACCGCATATTTGACGCCATATCTTATGATTCGGCACTCATGGGTTGATTATTTTCCTCCGTTTCAAGGACCACTGTAAGATTTCATTCATTGCAACGGTTTTGATTAATAAGGGCAGCTCGGAGCTTAACGTTTAATGGGGCGGGGGAGAAAGCCTCAAATAACCGCGTTGTGGAAAGGTGGGCCTTAGGCCGCGTTCATACCGTGCGACGTCGACGTCAACGTCGACGAAAGCTGCGTAAGCTGCGTAAGTTGCGTAAGCTGCGACTGGTTCGTGAATAATACATACGTATCGATCCATCGAAAGCTGCGTAAGTTGCGTAAGCTGCGTAAGTTGCGTAAGCTGCGTAAGTTGCGTAACCGACGACAGCTAACCGATCGATACGTATCTATTCTTCTCGAAGTTGTCGTCGGTTACGCAACTTACGCAGCTTACGCAAATTACGCAGCTTACGCAACTTACGCAGCTTACGCAACTTACGCAGCTTACGCAACTTACGCAGCTTTCTTTGGATCGATACGTATGTGTTCTTCAGTCGCAACTTACGCAGCTTACGCAACTTACGCAACTTACGCAAAGGACGTCGCACGTATGAACCGGCGGGCCTAACGTCAACAAAATAGATAATACGGTCTTCATATTCGTTTATTATCCTCCGAGGCTACGTGCGTTCTTTAAAGCGAAAATCTCGGGGTACAACAATCAGGGTAGCACACAGTCGTTGTGTGAAACACATAGGCGGGGCGGGGAGCGTACTCTTTCCCTGCCAGGGAGGGAGAGTCGTGGGTCGTAATGAGTCTTGAATGCTTGCCGCGTTGGGAAAAAACTTTTCCCCGTTGTTGACTTTTCGCGTGATTTTTCCTGTTTCATGTGTACTATTTACATTAATGAAGTTAAGGTCTCTGCACCCCCTCCCAAAAAGACTCAGCTTAGTGCGCAGACGACCAGAGTCGCCGAGGAATAGTTTCGCAGAGCTAAGTTATGATTAGGGGAAGGGATACGGAGACGCTGGCAAGTGGTCGGTCCCTCAACTACGTTGCATCAAATCCTCATCTCCGTTTGCAAGAGTTCCAGTTCTGCACGGGGATCCTTTGAATTCCCCACCCTATCCCGCCTCCGAAAATATTAGCTTCCAGCTTTCATTCGTTCAATGATCCTCAAAACCTGGAACAGAAGGTAGCAGTTCACCGACTGTCGGAGTTAAGGTCGTCACGATAGCAGTAAAGGACGTAGACTGCTATGGCCTAATTAAAGATGTCAAAATGGTACGTCAACTAGCCTTGAATGCATTCTTACACTTGATGCCGTGCATCAGATGTCCTGATCTCAGATCATCCTGTCAGTGTTTCTGCCGCAGCGGGAAAATTTTGGCAGAATACGACCCTCTTACCCCGCCCAACTCCCTCCTATGGTACGGCCCTCTTCCGCATCTTACCTACCCTCCTATTGAACTCCAAAGTTCTACCAACTTTCTTCTACTTTTTCCCATTTTATTAACTTCTCAGTTTTCTGCAACAACCTGCCATACTAAACTCAACTGTCGAAAGTAGTAGGAACTTTGACTGCGCCACCAACTGTAGGGAGGGGCTAGAAAGATCGGAGAAATTTGTTTCGCACGAAAAAAAACTCTTAAAGGCATATAGCGATAGTGGGGAAAATGACGAAAAAGCGAAGTGAGCCTATCAAAAATCTGCAAAAAGGCCTTTGTTCCACACGATTCAGAAATGAATTTCAGACGAGTTTAGCGTTGGCATCTTGCCAATATTTGCGGTAGGTACGTATGCATGTATGTGCTCATATACAGGGTACAGCATCGTTGTGTGAAACACATAGGGAGCGTACCATTCCGTTGGGAAGGGGAGGGGGTATGTATTTGGTCGTTGGGAGAGGGAGGGGAGTCGTACGTGCCCCTAAGAGAAATTTGCTGCTTTGCGGAAAATTGAAAAAAATTTTCCCAGGTTGTTGACTTTTCGCGTGATCTTTCCTGTTCCCCCCACGCCTCTTCTCGACAGCAACATTTTTGGGGAAAAGTAGGAAAGTTCTCGTGAAATTCCGGAAAGAAGGAGTAGGAAGTTGGGGGGAAATCGAAGAAGTTTTCCCGTTTCACATTGGCTATATGCCCCCTCGAAGGAGGGGGTCGTACTGACACCACCACTTCACACATCATGATACTGTACCCTGCTCATATATCTATGCAGCACTGCAGCTGCTTCATATCAATCCCTTCGCTTCATACTGTACCTCGCAAGTGAACCGATACGAGCATCAGGAAATCGTCCATTTGTGGGCGGGCGGTTGCGATGGGCGTCTAAGTCGGCATGTTGCACCTTGATTGGACGCTAAAAACGGTACCCTTGGTTGGAAAAGGCGCCACGCAGCGCTTGCTAAGGGGTATAATAAGCATTCATTGAAGGCGTATCGACCCTGTAAGCCTCGTTGATTTGTCGTGCCCACTACCTTTAATTAAAATCATGTGTTGCTTTATACTAATTACATGCGTTAACAAATAAAATTTGCAATATTTATACTTTCTGAATAAATCACATACGATCATCGTAAATTATAGCCTTAATGGTTGTAAACACTATAGATTCCGAGACTCATCATCATCATTATATTCACAAACGAACGACGCGAAATGGATAGGCAAACGACGGGGTGCCCTGACCATGTCTGTGAAGTTGTACCGTCTCAGTGGGACAAACCGCACTTCATCGCCTGATGGACACACACAACAAAACGGACGGTTATAGGGGGGATAGACAGATGTAGAGACAGAGAGAGAAACTTTAAGAGATCGGAACACTACCTACTCAACTCGGCACACAAAATAAATTACTATCTGCACGCATAAAGGCATCCCTAAGCGTGCGAGGAGAAGACAATGCTCTACTAGTGGTTCGGCCATGGACAGCTATATAGATTAGTATAACTTATATTAGTTTCTAGACACTACAAGTCAGAAAAAGAATGCAAAGAAGGGGGTGTGAGAGAGTGTAAGCGTGGACACTATGATCAATACGATGCAACTATAAACAGATTGGCGACAGATTTTGTGAAAAAATAGGAAATTATCTCAGAAGAAACTCGACGTTTCACTAGGATGCCTCCTGTCGCTTCGGAAAAAAATGAAACAAAATATTAACCGATGACAAAAATAGGAAAAAGGGTGGGAGAAAAACAAGATGAGTAACGTGCACACATCAAACATGCACGAAAACGATGGAGTGAACTGTGACTAGTAGACCCTTATATCGCGAGAGCCGCAATGAATAAAACAAATAGCACCTTATCAACAACATACAGGACACATTAAACACACTCGCACCCAATTTAGGAGCGAATTCGGAGCACATGACAAATTGAGCAGCAACGGACCGGCCGTGATGAGGATTGAAGGGAGACGGGCAGGTGCCAACGGTAGATAAAGACGAATGCCGGAACACGGCAATAGAGACGACAAGTATTTCGAAGGAATCACACGTTCATTGTTTCGGCTGAAACGAAGAAAATGAATCATTAAAAAAGCTTATGCTGTTTATTGGGCCGTTATACGCTTAACACTTCACAGAAATTAATATAAATGAAGAAAAATGTAAAAAGTAACGGTGAGCGGCAGAATTTGCTTGTAATCGGTTCAGCAAACTACTAAATGATATTTTGAAAACAAAAGAAAAAAGATTCTTGAACAGAGAAAGAAGAGGGGAGCCGGGTAAGTCTCCCAAAAGGTCTGCGTGCTATCATCCCGTGAACGGTAGCTCAGTGAGGACGCTGAACATCTCTGATGATTTGGTATAGTTTTACACAACTGAATCTCTAATCACCATATTTCAAGACGTATAGCTAGAAAAAGTTCAAACCTTCTTGAAACAAGCTTTAAGGAGCTTCTGTGACACCCTGATTGAGAAGGTCAGCGAATGACTGATAAATCCTTCAAAATTTAATCTTTCTTACTGAAAGTGGGCCTTGGCTTCAATGATCGCGCGGCAGGGCGAAAACCCAGCGGCTGCATAAACTAAGCAGGAGACTTGCCACGCATCCGCGATTTGAATTCATTTTATGAACCCAAGGTGCTATAGCTGTTATATAATAAGTGTTTAGTAACATCAGACGTCAACTTCCAGCTCTGGGAAGGAACTCTTAAAGACACATTCTGCATTACAGGTCGCGCACCGTGGGGCCTAAACATGACTCTATAGACGCCAGTTGACTTACCACTGAAGAAAAAAGCTCAAAAAACGTTCCATAGTAAGGTGCGGCTGACCTTGAACACTGGACAGGCATGCGGCGAAGAGCACGCAGAGAATCTCGGTGCCCGAGCGAATGCCACACAGCAGCACCCAAAAAAGAAGAGAAAACTGATGGCATAACCTAGCAGTAGTAGTTAATGGATGTTTATACCTAGTACAGGCGAGACTCACGGCCGTTCCAAACCCCAAGCGTCCTTGTCACCCACTTCGAAGAGACGAAAGTGGTACAGCCAGTGCTGCTGGTGAGCTAAGCTCCTTGTAGGTGGAAAGAGTTCCACCTCACAGATAATAGTGGAATATGTGTTTGATCGCATCAAATCTGCGGTTCTTCGCTGTTTGGAATGCATTTTCATGTTGTTTCAGTATGATTATTGCTGCTTAACGCTGTTGCTCAATGCTGTCTTCTGTATTAATGCTATTTTCGCGCACTGGAAGCTACCAGGATGCTGAGTTATGGAAAAAGTTTTGACGCAAGGCGGGATCTGAACTCGCACATCACTCTTTTCGGGAGAGTGCGCCCGCTGTCCATTGCGCCACTAGGGCCCGTTCCCCACGTGTCAATGAGGTGTGTTTTTATGTCAATGACACATGAGAACAAAAATAAACCAACTTTATTTTTCCCGAGCGGCTTCAAGAATACCAAAAATAAAAAAGCGAAAACACAAGCTTCATAGTTTCAGCCCCAGCCCTAGTTGGAAAAATCTTGCGTTCTAAAATTTCCATCTCCTTGGTTTCATATAAATATAATTCTCTGTCTGAACAAAAACTATTTAATTAGCAAACAGTCAGTGCTGATATCCGCTGAAAAATTGCATTTTTGAAAAGAATTTTCATCACTTTGACATGACTGGAGACGTGCAGGGGAAAAAGCATTACATTTCTGTATTCTACGCGCGTGCTCCTATGACGAGCGGGAGAATTTTCTCAGCACTCCATGCCTTAAAACATGGAGGTCATCATGGTTAGATTGAAAAATCGGAGAAAAGAAAACTCGAAGGCTTAGCAATACTACAGGCCATAATGGAGGGTCCAAAAATAAGCAAGAGCTCCAAAAAAGAGACTTAAACGAGTTAGAACAATTCCGCGTAACTAAAAGTAAAGCTATTACTAACCTGAATCTGTTGTTGTTTCATTAACTGCTGTTGACGTGCCATAGTTGCTTGGAAATTTGACGCCGCAGCTTGTACGTGACTCGTCGGCATTCCTGCCGCCCGTCTCCGTGCACCTTTTGAAATTCCGATTTCAGGATTAATTACATTTGAAAAAAATGTGGAAAATATCTATGGATATCTCCCCGCGGGCGATTAGTTCCCCAGAGACGATTTCCCAGCGTAGGACGTGCCGTGCAACGAATTTGGCATCTCCAGGGATATCTCAGCGAGACTATACAAGGACTTTTACAATCCAACGAAAAACTGTGCGCTCCCCGGCGCATTTTGAAATTTTTTGCTACTCAAACTCTTTCCAGTGCAAAAAATGCAAAAACTGACTTTCAAAAATAGAACGGTCTTATTGGCAAGAAAAGAAAGGGTTTCCTATACATGAAGCATGAAGTCAGATCCACATACCATCAACAATGAAAGGCTCCTCATCGTCGCGTGGACTCGTTTCCTTACTTAAATCAGTTTTTCGCCGATTTTTTCGAGGTACTTTCGCCTAGAAAAATGTCTTGCTGAATAGCTGTCATAATTATCGTAACAAAAACTTGAAAGAAAGTTTCAAAAAACATAGAGAAAAAGAATGTACTATCCTTTGCATACCTTTTGCTCAGCAGCTGCCTTTTGGCTCTCACCCTGGGCTACAACCTGCAAAATTGAATTTAATGCATTATTCTAAACACAGATGGCAGCATTACAAAGTGAGTCGCCAAGCGACACAAAGACTGCAAAAGTTCGAACCTTTTTCACAAGTTCAGCTATTCGCTCATCATCAGCAGAATCTGGGGGCTGTGATGAGGGTAGCGACCGACGAGCTCCGTTAGGTATTCCAGCCTAAGAAGAAAAGATAAGTGAAAAGATTGGTAAGATGGTAAAAAGGTATGCAAATTTGCAGCGAACTCCACCTGGTCGTGTCCGTTGACAAGTCTACCGGGACCGTTTTCACCGGCTTTCGCCATTCCAGCACGCCCATGAAAGACTTGCGCTCGTGCATTGTGTTCAAGTGATAAATTGCCTAAACGAGGTTCAACTCGATGAACACTCAGAAGTAAACCCTCCCTCCCCCCAAATAATAACACACAATAATCATCACAAAGAATACCAACCAGCTGATGGAGATGAGGCCATTGACGGCATCATTTGCATAGGAAGAGGCATCTGACCTGGATTCATCATATGATGAGGTGCTCCCATGGCGTACCGAGGATCTGAATGAACGATTTTGAATGAGAATATCACATAGGATTTGACATCATGCAGCTATACTTCAAAGCCATAAGGCAATAAGTTCAAATTTTAAGCCGGCAAATCAAAATTTGAGCACCTCCAAGCAGACGCTAATTCATGAGATTATAGCCAGTGCAAGCCGGAGGGCTCACTTTACCTGCACTTTCACCATTCAAGATAGCTCCCAAATAAAGATGCACGAAATTCGATTCCACCAAGCAATTACTAGGTCCAGGAGAGCAGAGCAGAACTAGAATCATTTTACGGCATCCGAATGGTTAAAAGAGCGGTACCAGTGCGCCCCCTCCAAAGTTATTCCTCCGGTGGGACCACACACATAAAGGATAAACTCTCCGCCTCTAATCGATCCCTCTTAGGGATGCGACACGCACTATACTTCCATTCAGAAACAGTGAGTCATTGAATGCAGTGTGGCCTATACAATGACTTGCGTAGGCCGCCGCAAGCACAGTGTGTGTTTCTGATCCTCCGAGTTGAATTGCCTACGCGGATTTTCGCGTCTCGGGAAGGGATGAAGACTTGTTGGCCTTCGAGCCGGAGCCAATCAAGACTCAAACCCCCACATAACCGTACGCAGTTTACATAATTTGCCAAACGCCGCCAAGTGGGAAGGCGAATAGCGCACGGGGACAGCGTGCGTGAAGGGGAAAAATAAACAACTGCAAAAATTCTTTCAAGACTAAAACGGCCCCTTCCTTCAGCGAACAAGTAAGGCAGCACTCAGACTTCGCGACGGCAGTGCTTCAGTCGCGCGTTAAATGCGATCGATACGCATGCCTTCAATCGCATTGATGGCGTCGAAGCGCTGTCGTCGCGAAGTCTGAACGCTGCCTAAGTAGGATCCTCACTAGGACGCTGAAGCTGACTAGAAATAATTACTTCCAAGCGGATGTAAGGACAGCTGTCAACCACTTATTGTCCTTCAGCGAGCGCTCAAGAAAAAACGTGGAGCAGTTCACTCTTTTCGAAAAGGAAATGAGCTACTGGAGTCTGCAAAGAGAGACATGGGTGTCAACGATATAATCTGTATAGAATGTGAAAATAATGCGACAATACTTTTGAAAAAAATCAAATCAGAGGACACAAATTCTTCAAATGAATACTGAACAACTTACCAGCCATCATCTGCTGCTGTTGTCCTGCAACTGCGACGATGTTGGCTGCCATTTGAGCGCTGCTCGGCCGTCGTTTCATGTTGCCTGCGCATGACCCAACTGAACCAGCATGAGTGCCAGTCTGAGAGACAGCAGGAGCACCACACATAGACCCTGGTGCTGTGCCACTCTTCGACACCATCTCTACCACTGATGCGATCGATGAGTCTTAAAAAATTGGTCAATTAGTTGCTGTCGAGAGAAAAAAAATCAAAAATTGCTAACCTATGCGATCCCCGTTCGATGATTGCACTGCACAGTTCGATGATTCCGTAGAATGAGGTCCACCCATGTGAGTACCGAATGTACTGAGCGTGTCACTACCTTGGCTACTGCCCGTGATTTCATCTAGTAACACAGCACCCAGATCAACCATGGGCTCTATGTCATCCAAGTCACCCAAATCGCCCACTGAAAAAGAATGTAGTCATTTGCAGCGGTACATTGAGTGACCATATGGACTCACAGTGATCATCCTGGGCAGTGAATAACTTATCAACGGGGTGTTCAATATCATCGGCCACTGGAGGAGCACTCGGCGGCTGTTGTTGAACTCCAAACGGTGTATTTCCGAACACGCTGCCTTGTGAATCCGTTCTTGACATCGGAGTGCCACTATGACGCTGAAAAAGATCACAGTAATGATTGAGATGATGCTGTAATAACGAAACATATAAAAGGAAATGAACTGATGGGTATGGGACAACACAATCGTAATTCGCCGCATTGGTGAGTGTCACGCGACGTCTGGGGTCAACTTCGGGCTCGCAAGTGACGACGCTTCTTGTCTGACATACCGTATGACTAAAAACAGCCACAAAACACTACAATTTTATAGCCTACGTGAAGTCAGCGCTCCACTCGATAGGCTTATAGAAATTCAAGGGAACGCCGCGCCCATCGCCGCGTGCGGCGGAGCGGCAAATTACAGTTGTCTTCACCGTCTCTCTGAAAGAATCCCTCTCTAAAACATTTCTTACCATGACCATCCCTTGATGACTACCGGGATTGAACTGATGAGGAGTAGCAGGTGACGTGCCATCGCGGGAATACTCTCCTGAGCCTGACGTTCGTTGTGATACGGTTGGATGAACGGATCCTGGTCCAGCGTGCATACCACCGTCTGTGTAAAGATTACAATACAGAGGTAAAGGGCACTTACCACAGCTTATGAATGAAAAGAAAGAAAGATAAAGAGAAGAAATAATGTTGATTTGAGCTCAGTCCATAAACTTAGAGTGAAGTGAACGCTTCTAGCATCCGCCATTTTCCGCCAGCTCAGTTTCTTTGTGGGCGGCCAAAGCCAGTTGCGAGTAAATGGATGAGCGATGTGAATGTCAGAAGTCTGTAGACATATTGAACCACTGATATTAGGTCCTCGCGCACACCGACCACATGTTACGATACCCTGTGAAAGGAGGAGGACCGCAATGGCTTTTTTTGGAAGAAATTTCGGTTCTATCTTTCTCGATATTTCCGTTTCGGGTGCACTAAAACCCCACTCCAGTTCGACGGCAGTTTTTTTGGAAGTCAGGTGGAGAATTCATGGACTCTGTAAACTCGGAAAAGTAGTGAGAAGTTAGAACAACTTGGAAAGATGGTATTGTTATCGGAATAATTTTGGATGGTATGCAGGATGAGGCGATGGGGAAGGGCGGGTAAGGGGAGGGAAGTTGCACTAGAGAAGGAAATTTCAGGGGTGGGGGGATTTTGCCGAAAAATTCCCTAACACAGGGCGTACCCTGTTGCGTACCCCTGAGCAAAAATTTGTTTCCATTGGTTCTTGGAATCCGAATGGAGCAAAACTTGGACAATTGCCAATGATCGCGGTGATCGCCTTTGAGAGAAATTTGGAGCAAACTATGAAATCAAATAGAATCATCAGTCATAAAATCAGAAAGCAAGAAATTTATGTAAGGTATTCTTCAGGCAAGATTTCCTCAAATTAGAACAATCTTTCCCATATACTCACCCATAGGTGTAGGGTATGGCACTGGAGGCCCTCGTTGAGCAGGCCATGGTTGCCCACCATGAGACGGATTAGATCCACTCATAGGTCCTGGAGGCGGTTGGGCATGCTGCTGCTGATACAACATCCGTTGCTGCATCTAAATAATACATCACATCTAATGATACTTATTTATTCATTGATCATGACGGCTAAAAGTGGCGACTGACTGTAGTATTTCAATCGCTGAAGAAGGTGCTAGGCACCGAAATATCCGAAGGAAGTATTAGAAACAAAAAAAATTTTTGCAAGAACTTTTGGATTCTTTTGAATCTTTTGAGTTTTGCAATAAATTTTTTGGCGCCTCTTTTCGTGTTTCATATTCAGATTGCAATGAGGCTCCGGGACAGCACAATATTACGATCATGACCACAGCTTAGTCAGAAGAAATCAGTGTAAGGAGCATCCTGAGAAATTACCTGCTGGTGCCATATGTGTTGCTGTTGCTGCTGTTGTTGTTGCTGCTGCTGTTGAATCTGTTGCTGACTAGATCCTTGTGGATATACTGGGTACTGAGCCGGTACACCAGGCATTCCAGCCTGAGTTGTAGGGTAGTTCGGGCCAGGTGGATACCCGGCATGACCCATCATTTGCATTCCACTTGGCTACAGTTGGAAAAATAAGCTCCAGAGTATCGAAAAACATAAATTTATTCTCAAAGACCTACCGCCATTGCAGCGGGGTGCATCATACGCTGTTCGTTGTAATATTGTTGCTGCTGTTGTTGAGCCTGAACTGCTGCATTTTGCTGCTGTTGCTGTTGCTGCTTGTGCTGCAGCCGCTGCAGCGGCCATTTCAGCTTCTTTTTGTTGCTGTTTCTTTGTTGGTTTCCTTTTCTTCTTGGGCGGAGGAGCTTGGACCGCTTCCTAAAAAGTGAGAATGAGCATGTAGTTGAGGATTTCAGCTTCTTCCTCTGTACACCACATGTAATCCATCCCAAATTTATGTAATATAATTTTTACCTCGACAGACGGCCCTCGAAACTGCCCTGGTGCCACAGGATTTGCAGTTGGCATACTGCCAGGCTTCATATGAGCGGGATAGCTTTGCATGCGTTGCTGCTGCACATTGACTGGAACCTGTTGAGGCTGTTGTGGTTGCCCAGCAAACATTCCAGGGTTCTGCGGTTGACCAGCAAATCCCTGAAACTTGCAAGTTCTAAATTGTTCTAGAATATACAAGAGACTCAGAAAAAGGCCTTTTCTCATCTAGTCAAGTCAGAGTAATGTCTTCGCCATTAATCAACCCCTTTTCGGGAGGTGGCACGAATTCTACCTCTGTTCTGAATGGTGATGGCTTACTGAATGCGATGCGGCCTATATAGTAACCTGCGAGGGCCAGCCAAGCCTATGTTCTTATCCACCAGACGAATCTGGTACCAATTTACTGCCCCCGGTGGATAAAGGAGGCTCGGATGACTTCGGCGCGAACCTTTCCGGGATTTGAGCCATTACCGCGCTCGTGGTAAGCATGTCGCTCACCCCAGCACCCCTCCACCTTCACTTCACAGTTTTCATTGAAAAAAACTCATGAAAATCACCGAGCGATTTCCCCTAACATTTCCTAAAGCTTGATAGATGGCGCTTTGTTAGCTACGAATGAGACTCAATCGCTGCTCGGCCGTGCCCAACAAGTGCTTGATGGGCATGTCTCGCCTTACAAATCGGCTCTTGCAAAGCCGCGGATTCGGATTATTCAAACAAACAGAAAAAGCTCAGCAAAAAACTTTCGATTGTGAGTAGCCATAGGAACAGCGGGGAGGAGGAGGAGGTCGCGGCTACCCTTATCAACCTGAGGTGCCCCCCCCCTGCCCGCATCTCAAAAAGGGACTTCAACGCGAAGACTTTAACCTTTCAATACGAGAAAACAAATATTGCCTTCATTGGAAGGTTCGCTAAAATTTGTGATTGGAGTCGGGGGAGAAAGAAGGGGTATGGCATGACTAACAATGAGCCTGCTAGCCAGCGCCCTCTCACTGAGACCCTAGGTGGTGCCCTCTTCCAAACGACTTAGCCTCAGAGAGCACCAAACGTCAGGAATGAAAACGGCCTAATCTGCCTTCTGTCCCTTAGTCCCCAATAGCAGCAAAATTTCCTTTTTACAAACGTTCTAAGACTTTGGGCAGTTTAATAGCTTAGGAACACAAACATCGCAAACACTCACCATTGGGGCCCTCTGCTGCTGCACTTGGGCTTGTTGCACAGGAGTAGCAGGATTGTAGAAACCACCAGGTGTAAGGGGTGCTTGTTGAGGTTGTCCTGGTACGGGATGTTGCTGCTGTTGTTGTTGAGCTTGAGCAGCTGCCACTGCTGCTGCATGGGCTTGTTGCTGCTGCATCATCAGTCTTTGGCGGTGCTCCATTTGCATCTGTATAGGACAACATTCAGAAGGAACACAGGTTCAAAGAGTTGTTCATTTTTGAAAATGAAACTTGAGACCTAGGAAAAAAAATGAAATTGAATGGGACCATACATAGGTTACTATATATCTGGCACAGTAGATAACGCTGCAAGAGACAAGGTATTCCTTAAAGTGAATTTGAGCGCGAGTAGAATCGAGCGGGTCACGTTAGGACATAAAGCATTACGACGCCAACAGACGATTAGGGAAGTTACAGGGATAGAGCTATGCACTCCGCAAGCTGCAAAAAATCGTTACGGAGAATACCCCTGTTTGGTCTAGGCAGATCGGCAATAAAAAATAAGAATAATCTCAAAATGAGACAGAATGGGAAAGGGCAAGAAAGGGTGGAAATGTGTGGAACTGGAATTTCACCAAGAAGAGGTCATATGAATAGGATGAGACCTACTAACGCTTGCTGGAAACCCGTGGATGGTGCGGTTCAATCAAGATCTGGCGCTTACGGGGGACCCATGAAGGTGCGGTCCAGACATGAACTTATGGGTGCCAAATGGTTAATCAGAAACTAGTTAAGCACTGTCCAAAATAAAACTCGGCTAAATTCCAGTACTGGACAACACTGCGTTGAGTGGAGACGCACAGATGCTTTTGGGTGCGGGAACGACAACAGATTCGAGATCGATGCACAAACAACGAAGGTGGTCATCTAATACTGTGGGCGGAGTTGACCGGAAGAGGCGGGATCAGTGTCACAGCACTTATGTTCTTACTGAGCAGTTTCGAGTGGCCAAGTGATATCCATGAGTGACTGGGGACATACTTCTCGTGTAAGGGGAGAGAATTATTAAGCGCGTGATTACAGATTGTTTTTAAGCTCTCAAATGAGTAAAAAAACTACACGGAAACGAAAAAAATGAGTCCATTGAGAAAATACGAGAATGGCGCTTTGAGTGCAATTCAAGCTTGATCACTTCAAAAGCCCACATTACCTGTTGCTGCATTGCCATGTGCTGCTGCGGATCCATGATGGGTGGGCCGGCTGATTGTTGAACATTGGCCGAATGAGGGTGCTGATGCGGTGGGCCATTGCCAGGGTACATATACGTGCCTGCCGGAGAGTACGACTGATGATGAGGCGGCACATTTGCAGGAGGACCTCCAACCATGCCTGGTTGTTGCTGAGAGCTGCAAGAAAGCAAGCGTCAACCTTTGTCATCACAAAATTGTAACGCTGCGTTCATACTTCGCATTCAACCGACTGCGACTGACCAGTTAGCAAGGGGAGAGCAGTTTATCGCAGTCGTGCGTATAAATCGCTCGGGTCGCGAACTATGACCTTGGTTCAAGGAGTAAAACACATCGTGATACAGTACCTCAAAAGATTAACCAAGCAATGGACTGTTGTTGTTGATCGGTGGAGGCGGCCTTTGTATGGAATGTGGAGCAACCGGTGGTCCAACTTCTTGCTGGTGCTGGACAGGATGATAGCCGGGAGGAGGCTGACAGACTGGTCCAGGTCCACTAGTCGGAGCAGAAGTAGGAGGTGGAGGTGGAGCGCCAACCGAACGAGGCTCACTTAATAAAAAAATATGAATAACTGGATGAATGTGATAGCTAATTGAAGGCGGTACCTTCGCTCAACGGGTTGTTCAGGTCGCTTTTCTTCCACTTTTACTGGTTGGGGTGGAGGAACGTCGTTCACCGAGACCGTTTCTCCGTCACCAACCTTTACTTTGGAGACGCCTGAAAGCCCAACAATTTTAAAATAGACACATAATTTTTTGGTACATTTAAAAGCCAACCTATGCGTCCCAATGTATTCGGTTGCTTATTAGCAATGCGTTTCAGCCTTTGAGCGAACTTCGGGGGCAAACGGAAGGTGAGTCGACGACAGTGAACTGAAGGAATGGACGACGAAGTCATACTTTGTCGCTGACTGTCATCTGCTTCACACGACGCACTTTCCTCGGATGCCCCACTCTTCTCGCTACTTGTTGATGCCACAGGTTCTATATCTGAAACAGCAAGAAGCATAAATGTAATACAAGCGTAAATAATAATCGCGCAAAAGGGGGTGTGGCTGTCTCGGGCAGAGCACCCAATGAGGTAAATTGTGTGCAGAGGGTAGTTTAGTGAGCGCTTCGCGCTGTATGCAAAAAATCGTTCCGCTAAGTATCCTAGGATTTTAGGAAGTGAAGCGGCTCAATGAGAAGCTTGAAAAATTGAAAGAACTGAAAATAGCTCAATAAAAACAAAAAACATTAAGTATGAAACTCACTAACATCGCTTCTGATTTTCATATTGGCCTTAATGTCGCCCAAGAGCAGCAGGGGGCACAAAATGCCGCAGCTTCTGTGAGCAGGACAAGTCGCACCTGAGAATCCCCAGCGCAAGGTCGTATTTGATTCGTGGAAGGACTGAGGGAGACTGCATTCGCGTACCAGAACAAATTTTTGTGTGCAGGTGTGTGCTGGTTTTGCGCGTTCCACTGGCGCCACCCCCTCCCTTTTTTCCACTCGACGGTATTTCTGGAGAAAAACAGGGGAATTTTCCCGGAAAAGCTGCAATAAGTTGGAGAATTCAGGAACACGGTAGTCAGTGTAAGGTACACCGAGGTTCACCAGAGCAGGAAGTTTTTAGAGAGCCGTACTCCGCGGAATTCTCCCCCAAGGGCAAGTGGCGACGCCAGGCTGCGCGTGGTTGTCTTCGCTCTTCTTGGCCTGAGCCTTGACAAGAAAAGATGAGGTGCCCCCCCCCCAACCAACTGGGTTAGCGCCGATTCCTCATAAAAAAAAGCTTTAGTAAAACGCTTGAGTAACGCGAAAAAGTTCACTTGTGCACTCGAAATTCCGGCGCTATTTTAATAAGGCCTCTCAGTGCAACAGAAACAACTGAACCCACGGGTTTGCCAGGGGCACAGCCAGTGCAGAAAAAAATTTACAAAAAAAGGAAAATTGGTCAAGGTGAAATATGGTCCCAGCGACCAAATACTACCCCCCCCCCCTCCCCCCTCTCGCTGTGATTTCCACATCGATGCTCGCTTTGGTGTCTTGAAGGCTTAGTCTATGTTGAGCACAGACGTTCTGAGTTACAACGCGACAGAGCAGACATAGTCCCCCCCAACTACCCTAATGCCCTCGAAATGATACTGTTAAATAATAATATTATTATTTCATTTGAACAGCGCAGAAAAAATTCAATAAAATGCTCATGACATGAGTGCCAATAATATTAACATTAATATTACCAATATCAAAAATATTAATATTAATGATGTTGTCAACAGCATTAATATTACTAATATTAAGACAGTACTATGAACAAGGAAAGGAAGTAGCTGATCAACTGTGCCGATTCCTAAACGAAAAGCACGACTCACATCAATGACTATCGAGCTTCTGGAAAGCCCAGACCCTATGGAAAAAAACCCGAGGTTCCATAGGAGAGCTCGGTTTTCGAGGTTCCAAATTTCATAAAAGATTCTTGACGCATAGAGCACGTTTACATGTACACTTTGAAAACGTTCAAGACAAGTTTGTATATAAGTAGGGACAAAACTAACAGGAAGGTGTAGAGACCTCCCACTACACACAATTTATTAGAAACTGTGGGAACCCGCTTTACACTATGCAACCATTTTCGACCAATAAAAATGCTTAAGCAAATAAAGAGTGTAAAGCAAAAACACTGCAATGAATTGGGGATCGGCGCACTCTGGCGACTAGGGAGGGGAGGGGATGCATTTTATATTTTCGCTGTTTCACTATCTTCGCTTTACAAATCCCACACTGGTGAAACCTGGTTTTCTTGTGAAGCTGTGTAAGCTAGTCGAGCGACCATGATAAGACCTGCCAACTCTTATAAAGCAATTTATAATACAAAAGGACGTAGCGAAAGTAAGGAATACGCCTTTGTTGCCGAAATTCGCCTTGTATTTGTATGCTATTTGCTTGCATTAAAGAGTCGACAAGTACTCCTGACAAGAGTTGAGAGCTGACACTTGGTCTCCACAAACTTTGGCTGGTATCATTTCACAAGTGACTGCACAATATTTCACAGACTTTTGATGGCGAAATACGAGGATGGGAAGCCTCGAAAGCGCAAAATGCTCCCCTCCCCCCTCCCTCGTCGCCGAAAGGACTCACAATTTCGTGAGAGGATCCTCTCCTTTTTAATCAAACTTCTGTCAAATAGTACCTACGAGCTGCAGTACCAGTACATTCAAAACAAAACCAATTGATCAGCCTAAGGCCGTCAGTGAGCAAAGAATAGTGTACGCTTTTCAGGGGCAGTTCGGCGAGGGGTGGGGGGCATCTCGCTTTTTCTACATCCTATCGACGTATAGCAACACTTACAAGGGAGGTCTTTCAGGTCGTGGCGCGCTTTTTGGAAATGGTTTGTTGCTTGTTGTAGGGGTCCATACAAGGATCACAAAAATGGGTTTCATTTTTGCTATGCGTTTCTGGGGAGGTCAAAACTGAGTGAAAAGAATTTGACAAGAATGGGCGATTTTAACTATCTTAATGGGCTCCGTTCTGATTGTAACTTCGAGCATGCATAGTTTATGAGGTGCTCGTTAATTAGGCTTCGAAAATAGTTTTAAATAAAGTCAAAATGTAAGTATCATGTAGTAACACACTTGGCATGCACCGACGCAACAGTGATGTTTTTGTCAGCGGTCCCCTCATGCTCACTGTCGGCGGATCGGATGGCGCAGCGGATAACTCGATGGATTCTGGATGGGACGACGATACGATACTTTATTTGAACTATTTTCGAAGCCTAATTAACGAGCACCTCATAAACTATGCATGCTCGAAGTTACAATCAGAACGGAGCCCATTAAGATAGTTAAAATCGCCCATTCTTGTCAAATTCTTTTCACTCAGTTTTGACCTCCCAGAAACGCATAGCAAAAATGAAACCCATTTTTGTGATCCTTGTATGGACCCCTACAACAAACCATTTCCAAAAAGCGCGCCACGACCTGAAAGACCTCCCTTGTTAGAGAGCTACTTCATGAGCTTGCAAGGGTTGGCAGGTTTAGGTTGGCCAGGCTTGCTCCTTCACAAGTGTTCACAGGTTTCAAAAGAACGAGACTTGTAAACCGGAGGTAGTAATGCAGCCAAAGTGCAAAATGACCCCCCCCCCGTAGCCGAACTGGCCGAACTGAGCCGCGAAAAATAAAGGAAAGCAAACCAACGTGAATATTCTTCTTTGACAGAGACATGAGCGAACGAAGTTGGTGTATTGGTTTCCGTCTTGGGAGAAAGTGATGATTTGGAAGGACGCGAGTTAGAAGATGGATGAGCGACGACTGGAGCAGAAGCGGTATGCCACGGAGACGCTGACGACGACGGGTCTAGTGACGACGCGCCCAGCATCAGCGCACATCAAGCGCCCTCAGTTGTCTATAAATAGGAAAAAAAATCAGAAGTCAATCCAACAACAAAACTGCAATTACTTCGGACGAACGAAATTATGCGATTGAGAAAGGTCACAGGGCTCTCTTTGGAACGTCTGACATAAAATAAGGGTAAAGCGGTATCCATGTTTGACTTCCCAGAGACCGTGGCCTTGTGCAAGACCCCAAAAGGTAAGCAGGATCATAAATGTGAGTTAGGAGTCTTTCCTAGACGCTCTTGGTCTGTACAGAACTGCTAAAGCTTAGAATGGCATCCGACCACCGGATCTACAATTATATATAGCTTTCCAGGCTCTCCCGAAGGCGACTAGCTGAAATGTAAGCCGAGTAAAGTTGTGTTTATCTTGGTCGTAGTTTCAAAATACGTCAAAGACGGATAAAGTCTCCGCCGCTGGTGAATCCCTTTTGGGATACACCAGCAGCGGAGACTCTTCAGAATCGAAGTGATTTAGTGAATGTGATTTTGGCCCATACAGTAACTTGCGGGGCCCATTCGATCTACGCGCCAGTGTTTCTATCGTCCCAGACGAATATAGTATCAATTTACCATCCCCGAAACAGGGCTGAATCGGCGGTAACTTATCCAGGATTTGATCCTGAAGGCGCCGTGGTGACCGGGCCACTTGACCGGTCAACCTGGTCTTGCCGGGTTTGACATATTTACAACGAAATAAGAAAATAGGAAAACCTATAGATATGCCAGGAAGTATCTTCAGCGCCTACGTCGGAGAGAGAGGGGACGGTGCAGTACGGCTAAGGAGGACATTTTGCACTTTCGCCGCTCCACTAGTCCCGGTTTACTAGTCTTACACTTGTGAAGCAGGAGCAGCTCGTTGAGCTATCATGGTGAAACCTGTCAGCTCTTGTAAGCTAACAAAATGGCTCTTTAGATGGATCGACACATTGACGAGAAGTAGCAAATGTGCAAAATGCCGCCCCCCTCTCCCCAGCCGTCGAACTGCCCAGAGAAGGCCATTCTACCTCTGAGCCCCCTGGTCCCTTTCTAAGGCTGAGGCCTGGAGCACAGAAGACGGTCACCGTCACCAGAGGTTATATTCTCGCAAACAGAACATGCCGCCACTAGTGAAGAGACATGGAGCTACTGTAGAGCGACCTCCCCTCACTGGTAGCGGTGGTAACGTGACAGGGAAGTGTGATTTAAAAAAAAACAGGGATGAAACGAAACACCTAACAAAACATGGCAATAATCCGACAGGATGGAAAACAAATAAAAAATAACAATAGCTGAACAAAATTGATCACCTCGTCTCTTGAAAAATACGATTAAAACACTTTCCAAAAAATCAAACACTGGAACGCTGTGAAGCACTCCGAAAAATAGTATAGGGCCAACGAAAAATTATTTATGTAAAGTAAGCACAAGGCGTCCATCTGGCAGAAAAAAAAGGTGAAGAAATGGCGTGCAAATGGAACTAGCTCTATTTTTCAACCTTAAGAAGTCTACAAGATTTACATGATCTTGCAGTAAACCGTAAGC